TTGTTCACTTCCACTGTCAGTTCTATAAGAGCGTAACTTCCCTGGAATATAATAGACAGTTTCATAAAATTTTATTACATGAGTGACAGTGGGAAAAGATCAGTATTCTTTTAATGTCATTTCATACTCTCTCAGTTGACAACTGATACCCATAAAAACAAGCTCTAGTATTTTAATTACCACATCATGGAAGTAACTTTAGATTCTCAACAGAAGCTAACTCTGAGTACCATTTTATACTACCTAAGAACTTGGGAGTCTTCTGAAACAATCTGTTTGCAACACACACAAAGGTTCTAACAAATACAACTAGAATTCTACACATGTTGTTGCTGTTGTTCTCTCTCTCATTCATGGTTTTCTTTCGGCACTGCCCATCATCCTGCTCTTTATAATAGTTTGAATATGAATTTTCCTGCACAGGTTCAAATTTTGAGTGCTTGGTTCCCAGCTGGTACTATTTTGGGAACTGGTAGAAACTTTAGGAGATGGGGCCAAGCTAGAAGAAAGGGGTCACTGAGGACAGATCCTTAAGATACCTTACTCCTTCCTGCCTTTCTACTTCCTGTCTGCTATGAGGTGAAGAAAAACCCTCTACCACCTGTTCCTGTTGCCTTGATATCCTACCCAAGCACATGGAGCCAAGAAGGCATGCAATGAACCATCTGAAATGGGCCACAAAGAAATTGTTCTTCCCTTTAAGTTGATTCTATTGGGTATTTGGTATCCATGACTATAAGCAACACAAAAGCTCTCAGCAACAGATAAACTAAACAAAGGCATCAAGTCTGGAGAAGTGGCTCAATGGCTAAGAGCGCAGTCTGAACTTCTGGAGGACCAGGTTTAATTGCTAGCACCCACATGGCTCAAAACCATCTGTAACTCCAGCCCCAGGGGATTCAATGCCTTTTTCTGGCTCGTAAGAGCATGAGACATGCACATGGTGCACAGACATTCATGAAGGCAAAATAGCATAGACGTATAAATATGGAAGGAAGGGAGGGAAGAAGGAAGAGAGGGAGGGAGGGAGGGAGGAAGAAAGGAAGGAAGGAAGGAAGGTAGAAAGAAAGAAAGAAAGAAAGAAAGAAAGAAAGAAAGAAAGAAAGAAAGAAAGAAAGACAGGCACCTTCAACTAAGTAAAAGTGAGAGATCAATGGACCACAGCCTGGTAAACCACATGGGTGCCACTGCTTGCTATAACAATTCATTCACTCCCTGCCTCATCCTGCACCACACATTTGTCTACTGCCTCACTGCAAAACCAATAAAGAGAGAAAATACAAGTAAGGGCATGCAAGGGAAGATCAGACACTTGAACTGTATTCTAGCTTTTTTTTTTTTAAATAAAGGCATCATTTTAAAAGAAAGAGAAAGCTTTTATCATGATTGGTAATGAATGGCTGATCCCCCAAACAGAAAGCTTTTCTACATCTAAACAAAAACCTTTTCGTTCATTCCTATCAACAATATGCTACCGGATTTTAATGTTATCCTTCCATGTGGCTACTAAAACTATAGAGATGTTAAAATCTAGACTGCAGCAGATATGCAAATTCTGCGACTCATTATAGCCAAGTGTGTTGAGCCCACACCCATCCCATGCACATCCAGCCAGCATGCTACCGATTAAAGAACAGGATTTGTGCACTTCCTTGGCAGTTTTGAATTCCTCCCACAGACCAAGTGACATACTAGAGTTGGCTATAAACGCAGGAAGTTTCGGCCTGGAAAAAGCCTGTAGAATTTGGGAATTTGAACAGCTGGTGAGCAACAATGTTTTGATACATTTTTTAAATGGTCTTAGAAATTCTAAAATGAGCAGAACTCTTTTCTGACCTCAGGCAACATACTGGCAAACAGATGGATGAAACACAACTTCTAATTTTTTAAAGGAAATATTAGTTTAATAAACAACTTGAGCTTTTCTCAGGCTCTGTCTCAAGCTCCCTCCCTCCCCTTCTTCCCTCCCTCCCCACAGACAATAAGATCAGTCATTTTTATTCAACAATATGTATCACCGAAGCACTTAACTGTCCCCAGACACGTGAAACCATTTCAGATGTTGCAGTAAGGGGAGAATCCAGGCCCATAGGCCCTCTTGGTGATCTAATGTAGGGTAAAAGGCTCATCCTCTGAACATGGTCCCTTCTAGCACTCAACAACCATACCTCCAATCTGTCACCATCCTGTTTAGCTTTACAGAGATTTCCAGCATAAAAAAGAAGACGAACAGCAATCTAGCCCCAAGACCTGCTCCTGCTGAGAATAAAGCTTTCCTGATAGGGAAATCCATTTTTCTTAGGTCAGGGTGGTAACTATGGCCCAACCATTCCCCTAAAGCTACAAGTGTAAAATGGCTGATAATGGTAATAATGGAAGTGAAAGCAAAGCCAGCTACCATTTATAATCACTAGTAGGAAATACCTCATTGTGTTTTGGCAAAACTGTTTATCAAGGCACAGTCACCATATCAAAGTGTATGGAGTCAGACAAAATTGGAGTCAGATTTCTGCTGTGTCACCAAAGACCTCAATGACCTTGGAAAAGTCCTTCAGTCTCTTTGGATTTCATTGTCTTCTGATAAAAGGTAATATTCTTGTCCTGCCTGCCTTCCTCCAAAAGACAGTACGCATTCCCAGAGAAACAGCAAGACAATATGAAATCTTATGACAAAATAGAATGTCTTCTCTACACAGGCTGCTCTACTAGGAAACTTCAAAGGTGTGTTCTGTAGTCCTGAGACTAGCATATCACCTCAGGAATCACTAGCCATGCAGTTGCCTTAACTACTAAATTTTCATCTCCCTTGTGCTGTGTAATCATGCATGCATGCATACACATTATCAGAACTCATACTGCAAGCAGGGGGTCTGTCAATATTCTGGAAAATTCTGGATCCCTCTAGCTACCACTGAATAATTCTGTAGATGGGCAGAAAGGAATGAAATGATAAAGGTGCCCTTGAGGTAGTATTGTATTTATTTAGGAAATTTTACTTCATTTTTATAAATACTGCACAATCACCTGACTTTTTCAAACGTGGTTCTTCTTTGGTTAGACTAGATGGCACTGTGGTATCACCCTTTCAATGCCTGAGAAAATCATTATTGCATTACAGTTTTGCTTCAAACTGGGGATAATCCAAAAGGCTTCAATGAGTCCTTAATCCTACAGATTACATCTGAAGGAAGCTGCCAAAGGGCAATGGCTATTGTCACATCCCAACCTCCATGTTCAAAAAACTGAAAAGGGTACACATGCCATAATACAGCATGATACAAACGCTAAACCAAGCTATTGCTTCCACGCCAGTGAAGACTTCTCTTTTACTTCCCCACCATTGTTGTGCGGGTGGAAGTCTACTTTTGCCACAAAGATTGCTTTGATCACCATCCCTCAAGCTCAGCTAGCATAAGAGATCATTTACAATACTGCCAAATGTGAAGGGACTTTCTTAAACACCATGATACTCTTGTGAAAATGACTTACACAATTCTTGCCACGAACCAAGGCCCAGTCTTCCTGTGACCAAGGTTCTCTTGACGTGAGAAAACATATCTGTTAGTGTAGAAAGGAAATGAAGGTTCAAAGGATTCAGCCAGAACACTGATCTTTGAGAAAAGCCACTGTAAACTGAGGCTGTGACCAGAAAACCTAGGGTTCCCTTTCCTGAAGCTAGACAGAAAAAAAAAATAAAAAACAGGCACAGTTCATTCTTAACAGCCACCTGCAAAACACCATTTTGTCCAAGAAACTGAGTGAGTGTCTCTATGGGATATGGAGGTAAGGCGCGTCCAGGTGGTCCAAAGCAGTAGCAGCACCCTTGAAGGCCCATGATGTCATCAAAATAGGCAAAGCAAGACACACATGACCAAGTCCTTGCCAGCTGGAAGACCCCAATTCTACTCCCTGTAACTAACCCACTCATAGACTCTTTGCCCCAGCCTGGATATTTCTGAGAAACACTAGCCCTGGCTGTGTTGATTTCACTCCAAAGCAACTCCTTTTGTCCACTTCACGGCATCCCATGACCTCCAGGAATTGGCCATAGCAGCTAGAAAGAAGAAAACGCCTTGCTGGCTACAGACCACTCAGAAATCAGTTTCTCCTGAGCAGGCCATGGGTGCTGAGGCTATGGAATCTCTGTGCTTCAGAAAAAGCTCCTACCACTCCTGAGGCCCCTGAGCCCTATGCAGGGTCAAGAGCAACTTCCCAGCTAGCGTTCGGGCCGGCCGAGTGCCCCCTTATATTTGAAAAGCACAGTGAACAGTGGGCAGCAGTGAGGGACACGAGATGAGAACTGCCATCTCTCACTGAGTGTCAGCAAACAGTGACAGAATGACAACCACTCTCCAGAGAAAAGTGAGGCCTGGGGTGAGGAGGCAGTAGAAGCCAGGGAAGAAGAAACTAAAGGATGAGTTAGAGAGAGAAGAACAGTGGAAAGGGAGATGGATGGTAAGAAGAGTAGGAAAAGGAAGGAAGGAGTAACCAACAACAGACATGATGGGCAGAGAATTTTCCACTAAAGAATGCCAGAAACTAAAAGGGTAAGAAAATGTGAGAGCAGGAAACGGGGAAAGATCACCAAAGAAAGAAAGAGCACTGGGCTGTGAAGCCAGGTGCAGAGGAGAGAAGAGATAGAGCATAAACCCAGAGACTGCTTGCAGAGCACTTCTTTAGGGGTCTCTAGTGCTCTGAGGGTGGTTCCCGGTCCTGACTGCTTCTGGGGATGCTCATTCCAGGCAGCCGGACCACTTTGCCCACACTCCCAACCACCAAGCAGGCCAGCCTTCTGATGTGGAGACCAGCTGTCCCATGCTGCAGCCAAAAGGCTTCCTGACAGCATCACGGCGCTGCAAATATTTGCTCTATGATACCTAGCCTCTATCAATCAGGGACTCAACACTCAGGGTGCTAAGGTGTGCGCAAGGTCCCCAGCAACTGCAGGCACAGCCTTTCCCGCCCCTGGGTGACCCACTGAGAAGTAGCCAAAGACTCACCTGGAAGGTCTCAGCCTGGCATCGCGCTTGCCATCCACCACTGCGGGCACACAGCTGGTGAGCTCGGTCCAGTCGGCATGCAGCCCGCAGCTCCAGCCGGTGGAGAACCTGGAGAAGAGCCAGGTCTCCCTCTTACCCGGCCGGTGGCAAGTGCATTTCTTCTGCCCCACGCGGCACTCACATGGCTGCTCCAGCTGGATGTTGCGCACCAGGTGACGGCCAAAAGTGGTTCCCCCAGTCTTCTGGATGTGCAGGAACACGATCAGGTCATCGCCCTTGATGTCGAAGTCTACCTTGCGCAGGAGATCGCTGCGGCTGAAATTGTAGCGGGGTACAAACCTGGCGGAGCTCTCATCCTCCGAGCGGTACGGATCCGGCACCGGGGAGCTGAACGCCTGAAGGCGGAGGAGCTGGCATTCTGTGCCGGGGCACACGTATTGGAGGACGATCACGGCAAATAGGAAGAGCATCACCAAAGCCAGCAGCAGCTTGTTGGATTTCTCATCCATGTTCCCGACGCTGGGGGAAACCCAAGCTCGTTACGTCAATCCCGCAGCTCGGCCGCTCTCGCCGCGCTCCCGCACCGCCCCCTCCCCGTGGCGCCACCGTTGCGCCCCTTTCCCCTCCCGTCCGCACCGAGTACTCCAACACGGCGGCGCCCTTCCCCGCTTCCTTCCCGGCAGGCTCAGCGCTGTGGCTTCTGCTGCACCCCCCTCACCCCGACTCCATCCCGCTGGCCGTTGGCCCCCTCCCCCGCGGAAGAAGCCTGGGTCCCTTGCTAGGCGCCTCGTTCCCCGAAGGATCCCTCCGTCCCGCTCTCTGCACTCCCTAACGCACGCCCACCCCTATCCGGCACAGGGTGCTTCCCGCTCTGTCCGCTCCAGCTCCCATCCCCATCCCGCTTGGCCCAGGGGACTCTCCTGGGCTCCAGACCCCAGTCCCCTCCGCGTGCACGAGCTGCCCACCCAAAACGCGGGCTCCCTTGGCGCCTGTCCCGTTGCCCACCGGGTGGCCGCTGGGAGTGAGCTGGGGTTTCGGGGCTACCCTGGAGGGGAGAGAGGGAGCCTGCTGGCTGCCGGACTTTGCGAGCTGAGGCGGCGCTGCCCTTTCCCGCGGATCAGCGGGGAGGGAGCCGCACCGCGGTCAGCTGCGCGCTCAGCCCGTCCCGAGTCCCCCAGCCCGTTCCCTGCAGGCTCGCTGGAACTTTGAGCCTTGCCCTCTCTCCTCCCAGCTGCCTTCCCGGCTCCCGCCACCCGGCTCACCCTGAACCCAGAGCGCGAACCCCACTTTCGCCCACCACGTACCTGGCCAAGGGACCGAAGATCTTGGAGAAGATCGCACTGAGCACGTGCTTGAGCGAGTGGCCCACGGCTGCCAGGCCCCGAGTGAGCAGGGCCCGGCAGAGGGAGCCCAGGTCCCAGCGTCGCCTGAGGTCGTGCATCCGCCTGCGGCGGCCTCGAGGCAGCAGCGCGAAGAGCGGGGCGCGCAAGGCTCCCGCCAAGGAAGAAAATGCCTTTGGGGGCTTGTTCTGGAGCGGCGGGGAGTTGAATCCCAGAGACACACCCCTAGGAGGGCTGGCGCGGACTGAGGCGGCGACCGACCCGGGCCGGCTTGCTGCCAATTCGGCCTCTACTCTGGAATGCCGGCGGGGACAGGTGGTGCAGGCGGGCGCTCCTTGCTCTGGTTGCAGTGGCGGCCGGAGCGCCCGGGTTGCAAACGCAGGCGGTGCCATTCCCCCCTTCAGGCAACTCAGGGTACTAAGGATCAGGAGCGAGCTTGAATTTATATAATAATGCCTCGCGCCTAAGAGCCCCAGCCACTTCACAAGCAAAAGACCTGGGTTTTCTCCTGTGCTGGAGAGAACGGAGGTCACTCCAGAGAGTGCATCACTCCACTTTGGCTCGTAATTTCAACCTCCCTTAAAATAGCAAAGGCGCAAATTGGACCTTTTCCCTCTCTCTTTGCCAATTTCCATTCTGCAACGGAAGAGGGGGTATTTTCTGAAAAGGTAAGTCAGCATGGAAATAAAGCATGACTAAAAAAAAACCTTATATGGGAGATTTTGAGCGTTTTCAAAGCACACACGTCCTTATTCCTCTCCCTTTGCTGAATCCCCTGCATCAAGCCCACCGCCCGCAGAAAAAGAAAATCACTCACTACTGTTGATTGAATGAATTAACTACACACCACATCAGAGTGAGGCCATATTACTCAAGATGTTGTTGGGCTATATGAGGAAACTGAAGCCCAGAGAGAATTCGATATATACCAAGGTCATACAGCAGAGCACTGTTTTTTTTTTTTTTTTTCAGCCACCCAGGAACTATCCAACCATTTTTTCATAATTAGAACACGTCTCTCAATAAATATGTATGTGTTCATTATCAAGATCAATTCAGCTCTTATCAGCTGGGGGACCAGGGGTTCGAAAATTTAAGAATGGATATTCCTTCAGAACAAGGCCCTTTGACAATCTGAGACCCAAATTAATAGGAGAAATTGCAGTGCATAAAGACACTGGAGTTTCCACACTGGAGTTTCCATTACTGAACGTACACTTCCGACCCAACTGGTGCAAAAGTAGTGCGGGTTAGCAGCAATGTTTGAAAGAAGTACCATTGGCATTGGGGCCACTGGAAGAGGATGCTGTAAGCTAAGAGCCGTGTCGGGAATGTTTCTTTCCAGAACATTATTTCCCTTGCTGTATGGTGAAGCAGAGCACTGAGTCCTTGGAATTTTTTTTTTCACTTCCTTACAGAAACTGTGGCATAATAACTCATTCTTCCTGATGCTCAGTTTCCTTTCCGTCACATAAGACTAATGGTAATGCCTCCATTTTAACCAGAGAAACATACCAGGTGTTATTTACTGGCAACTCTTGCCTAGGTGTACCAAATGAGTCTGAGGCTAGTTGAAGAAGGAAGGGGTCCTTGTCAGGCCATTTTACAGCAGTGTCTCTCCTCTTCTACTCAGAATCTCCAGTCCTGCCTGGACTTACCCACGCCCTGGGGAACCTACATTAAGGGATTATTTGTCTAGCTGCTGCAGGTGTCAAGAATAGTTCACCTCTTGGAGATTCTGCATTCGTGTCATTCCTGCATCCCTGGACCGAACTCCAGCAGCAAAGATGCTGAAATACACAAAGTAGACCTCAGCTTTCCCACAAAGATCCCCTGGGTCTGCTATGTCTGTGGAATAGGACCTCCACCCTGCTGGGGGCAGGTAAGGATGAAAGCCCTGGAGATACAGGGATTATCATTTTCATGGCCACCCACACAGTGCCCTCTTTTCCTGACACAGTAGGTAGCTCTCCTCATGATAAGGTTCCCCCTGTCATTAGACCACCATTATAATGGTATTCAGTGGCTCCTTAAGAAAATACTTTCTGAAAATGGTGGTTTGCACGTTCAATCCCTCTGCTACTAATTATGGAACTTTTAATTAAGAAGGATTAATGGAATTGGAATATGGGAAAGGAAATTATCTTGGGTGGAGGATAGAGGGAGGTGGTGAGCAGCAGCAGGAAAAAAAGCAGGATTTTCTCAAAGTGTAAAAAAAGAAACCTAGGCACAAGTGTAAACACACGTGCACAAACAGCCAAGCATGATCACAATGCGAATATCAGAAGAAGTGCTAGTCAGCTTTATCTCTCGGAGCTAAAGGAATAAACTGTAGTGCTTTGCTAACACACCAGTGTCAATATGTACAACAGCTCAGTGGAGGATATTTTCATTTACAAGCCCTTCTTTGAGCACCCCCTTCATGTTTGTGAGACCAAGAATTGAATCTTGTGGGCCAGGCAGGTGGCTCATCCAAGTGGCTCAGCAGGTTAAAAACACTTACTGCCAAACCTGACTGTCTGAGTTCAATCTCTGGGACCCATATGGTGAAAGGAAAGAGCTATTGCAAGTTGTCATCTGACCTCCACATTAACACAATGGCACATGCATGCACGCGCACACGCGCACACACACACACACACACACACACACACACACACACTGTTTAATAGCAAAAAAAAAAATCACAAGTTTGTTGTTTAGAAATACAGTCTCACTATATAACCCAAGACTGCTGGCTTAGAACTTCCTATGTAGACAGAGGCTGACCTTAAACTCACAGAGATCCTCCTGCCTCAGACTATTGAGTGCTGGGATTAAAGGCCTGTGTTCCTACACCTAGCTCATAATGTTTTAAGCAAGTTTATCATTTTTGTCTTGGACCACATTCATAACTATTCTCAGCAGGCTGCAGGCTTACTGCCGGTTGGACACAAAGAGTGTGGCTTCCAGAGAGAGATTGACATGGAAGGAAAAGATCAAAAGAACAGGCTGAATTGCAATATCTTTGCTTATCCATCTCTTAGGAGCAACTTGAGATGTAGGGGGTATAAAACTTTAGGATTCAGTAGTTGGAAGGTAAGGAAGGCACTTAGTCTGAGCAGGGCCTCTGGTTGACCCCACAATGTGGCAAGGTTTTCAGTGTTTGCACAGAACTGTCCTTCAATGGTTTTCAACAAAAGGTTGATGATTCAGAGAGCTCAAAGGTCAGCCTGATTTGTATAGCAATCAGAGCACTGGGAGCCCTGTGTCTGGGTGCTGGAGGATGAGAGGACAACAAGCAGCACTGGCAAGAGTCCTTTGTTTTAAACATGAATCTGAATGTGGAGGGCACCCACTGAGATAGCCAGGTTCTTTTGTCACAGAACAAAGAGGTGAACCAGAGACACGTGGATGGTGATAGAAATAGTGACAGTCCATTAAGAAAGACAATGGCACTTTGGAGAATTGGACTGAACTAGAGAGCTGGGACAAATCCCAGGCTCAAAACTCCCAGGTCTCCCCACAGTGACCCTTTCCAGGACACTCTTGCTTTCTCCCACACTTGCAAGCATTTCCCAGGGATGCTCTGCTTGGTTACAGAGAGCCCTGGTTGGAAGAGATTAGGGTCCTTCTGACTTCTTTCATTATGGTAACCCTGATGCCTCTTTCTCCCTGTCCTACTTCCCTACCACACCTAGTAGGCCAGGGAAGCTACTTCCTTGCTGGCTTCTTTTGTCCCTTGTGTATAAGACAGCAAGGTTAATGTAATTCAAAAAGCACTTTCTGGATCTGATAAGCCAAGAGCAAGGTTACTTGTCTGCTTCAAAAGCCAAAATGCCACAGACAATAGGAGAAAGTTGGATTCCTGGTCCTCAAAATGAAATTCTATAGCATTCCATGGCATTAGCAACACAAGATCTCAGCAGCTACATTTGTTCTGGGCCTATAATACACTAGCGACAGCAGGATCTCCCTTCAAATTAGAATAGAAATAGTGGAAACAATATTAGGTAGAGTGTAGCACATTTATTATACAGCATAGAACAATATGCTTTCCCCTCATCCCGAGTATTCATTTCAACCCCGTTTTTCCAGCTGTCTATATTTTTTTTGAAAATGCTCATATTCTCAATACTAGACAATTTTTGTCACAAAGATGGAAGGCATGCAAATGGTGGAGCCAATTCATTTCTGTGCTTATGTGTCTCTCCAAACTGAATGAACAGCAGTGTTTAATGAAACGCTATTCTGAAGCTCAAGCTTTAATATTATAAACAGGTTGGGTGCGTAATACATATCCCTCTCCACAGTCCCGTTTTCCTTCCTGAAACACAGAGCTTTGATTTCTAGTCTGACAAAACCTGGGGCTCAACAAATTAAAAGAGGAAGATAATGCTGGGGTGCTGTGCATACTAAAGGAGTGTGTGTTGTGAAAGTAAAATAAGCACCGGATGGGGTACATACTAACATCATCAGTGTGAACATGCAGGCTGACGACTGCAGAAACATTTCACGAACGGACAGTTTCCCCTTCTTGCCGAGAAGGAACAGAAGTCAGCTCATGCTGGGCTTTTAGATGTACAGCATGCCAACCTGCAGCAAGCACAGCCTCAGCTCCTAGGCAGTCAGCTCAATTCTCTCCATCCCAGTTTCTGCCCATAAAATAGTGAGCTGCTTTATGGGTACATTAGGAATGAACCCAGTCTCTAGTGGGCCTTCTTAAAGAGGAAAGGGCAAAGCTCTGGAGAGGACACTGCTCTCGGAGCCTCAGTTTTCTTCTCTATAAAAAACGAAGCTTAGAGCTACCTCACTGAGTTCTCACATGAGTTAACTAATCTACTGAGAATACTTTGGGTTCCTGGAAAAGCAGACCTTTCGCTATCAATTTTGACTCTGAATATCTTTGATCTGATACCTTTGTTCCCTAATACTAACATACTGATTAGGGCTAGCATGGCCCTAATAGGGGCTAATGTGGCTTTGTCCTCGTACTATTTATCTCTAGTGTTGTCTCCCCTCCCTTCCACAGAGCTCTCTCTCTCTCTCTCTTTATCTCTATCTCCCTCTCCTGATGTCTCTTGGTGAGTCCATTCAGCCACACGAAGGAGTAGGGCACAAATTCAGGGAAGAGGAAGGTGTTAAACCCACCAAATGCTTCCTCTGCGGGGATTCTCGGAGCCAGCAGAGAGACTTGTGGAGTTAGGTGGAACAGACAAGAGTTATATGCAAGTGAAGAAGAGTGCCAACAAGGCCAGCCTCCTCCAAACTCCTGACTCTAGTATTCATTTCCAAAGGTGATAGCTGATGTAGCCAGAGGGGTTTCAATTTGAGCAGCTGGTCAAACCACAGCAGTTAGAATTGAAAAACAGGGTCAGTTTTACATTCAGTCTGCATGGAACAGAATTGAACAAGCCCACCCATCAGCTAGTCTGTAGCCTGGTTAGTTGTTAACAATGGCAAGGTAGATAGTGTTGTGCCCAAACTCTGAACCCCCCAAACACCAAGAGACCCGATCTGATGCAAAGGCATCTTTAAATTGTACCAGTTAACTCGGTTCCACCATCCATCCGACACAGCAGATGAAGCAAGTGGGTTGAGGGGCCTTGAGCAGCAATGGAGCAGGGAATATATTGGGATAG